AAGATCCAAAAACCGTGTTTTTGAGACATAATTTGTATGGGCTCACATGAGGGGGCATGAGCTTGAAATCGTAGCTGACCAAATGTTAACAATTTTTTTCTGATGATATGGCATGAGAAATGTTCAATTTCTATCTTATGTCTTCGTAAGTAGTTTTATGGACGGTTTATCGYCATGGTTTAGCCATAAAACGCTACTTATAGGTCATGTGACCTGTGACGTCACGCTGCCAGGGGGGCTGGTTACCATCAGCGTTGGCATACAAAGACTTTGGTAGTGCAATAACGTCAAAAAAGGTTTATTTCAAAAACTGTCGATAATGTTATCCTAGCAAGTCACGTGATATGTGACGTCATACACCCAAAATCGTTGGGGTGACTGACAGGACACGTGACTACATCCCTACCAAGTTTCGTAATCACAGGTTGTATTGCCGCGGAGAAAATGGGACAGGGGCCACCAGAGGTGTGGGGCCACCAGACGTGGGGCCACCAGACGTGGGGCCACCAGACGTTGGTGGAACGTGCCAAGCTTACTTGGGTAAATTTGCGACAGAGATGTTGAACTTCTTCAAAATGTCGATGTGTATTACTCCTTTACTCCCTTCTCTGGACGATGGCTTGAACAAATTTATACAAGATTGAACTGTATTTCCAAACTTTACAAGAAGGCTGTTTTTGCAAAGACGACAATTGACGTTGGGATTATTTTCTATTAATTTTCTGCCTTTATTTGAGTGCTTCTCACCGCGATTCATAACAATTTGCTCCACGTGAGTCTGACAGCTTAGCCAGCGTAGCGGCTACTGACAGCTTGATGTTTACATTCCATTCTAATCGAGCGAATTTTGATTGGCTGATTCCGGACGTCACCGGAATGTCCGTGGATCTGAACTACTCAGGAAAGAAGCTGATAATATGCAGCATTTGCATTGGCACAAGTAGTCACGCCAACGTGGGCTTTAGGTTCTTGGATGACAACGGCATACTGCAGCCTATGAGAAATAAGACGAACAACAGGGACCTTGCGCATTTCTCCGTAGAGCCGAACCCCAGCAGCCTCGAGAATCAATCCGTTTGGACTTTCCACATGGTCGCCGATTGCCATGGGAAGGTAAAGCTACAGATAAGAGTAGACGATACGGGAAAGGTTACGGTAAATAGCATAGAAAATCAAAGGGATACTATCTATAACCACGCGACCATTAGCACTTTGACGGTGCTTAGTATATGAACAACCCACACGCGAGGGAAGATTGGTTTCTTCATTACGTGGAGGAGAAGGAATACCTGAGTCAGCATTGGTATGACACGGGATTGTGGGTGAAGGTTGGAGGCCTGGGATTAATCGTGTGTACTATTAGCATTAACACGGGGTATTCGTGCAATGCTGGGTTTAGGATCGTTCATGAGAATGACCATCCATTACTGCCTTATAGAAAAAAAGATAACAATAGGAACCCAGCCCATTTCTCGTCGGAGCCCCCTCCGACAAGCGGAGAAGATCAAAGGCCGGTGACTTTTCACATGATAGCCAATTGCCAATATGCGAAGCTTCAGATTCTTCCCAATGACGTTGTCTACCTTCGAATAAATGGACAGGGTCCCAATTCCCCTAATACTGCTTGGTGTTATAAGCCCATTAGCACTATGAGTGCGCTACCGCTAGTTCCGTATTATCAAGGCGGCGCGAATACTATCTTTACTTATCCCCAGTCGAGGACACCTCGGATGCCTGACGACGACAAGCCCCCAGTAATACACAAGGATAAGATCAGCCCTTCATCTTCTTCAGGAGTACCACCCCAATAGYTACTACCAATATCCAAATGTTATTCCCCACGAACTTCAACAGTTCTCCGCCGGCCCTAAGTGCCAAGGAAACGACAGAACCCAACAGCCCAGGAATGCCGGCTGCCATCTTTTTTCCCAAGTTCGTCAAACCAGAACCTAAGTTCTTTACGCCTGCGCCTGTAGCCTTAAGGGAGCTAAGGATAAACCCTACTACGGCGCTAATAGCAACCGCGAATACCAGCGGAACGCCATACTTCATGAGAGCTCTTTTTACCTTTTCCTTGGTGGTAAGCCCCARCTCCCGCTCCAGGTTGTCCTCTTGCGCCTGCAGTTCCGCAACTCTTACTTCGAGGGTTTCTACTTCCCTTTGGGCTGCCCCCCTTTCCTCTTCGGGACGAGTCTGGTTATTAATTATTTCCTGTTGTCGTTTTATTTGCCCCTCCAAATCTTCAATGGCCTGATCCCTTTGCCGGATTTGCTCTTCTTTGGCGTTGATTTCGGCAACCAGCTGCCGCCGTTCCTCCAAAGAGCCGGCTATGGTAACATGCACGTTTTTGGCTTCTTCTTTGCTCATGTCCAGGTCTTGCAGGGTAAAATCGAAGGCCTTTCGGGTTTGGTCTCTTTCGCGTAGGGCATTGTCTCTTTGTTCTCTCATTTTTACTATTTGCTGATTCTTGTCGTCAAGTTCTCTCTTTTGAGCATCAAGAAGTAGTCGGTTTTGTCTCATGTAATCTGCTTCCCTTTCGTCTAATGTTTCTTGTAGTTCCTCGGCGCGTCTTTCTAGCGCGACCCTTTCGTTCAAAGTTTCCAACCTTTCTAGCGCACTCCGGGTAGCCTCTTTGAAGCCCCTTAATCTTGTTACGTTAACCTTGACCGAGCCATTATCATCAAAAAGTTTGTTTCCGCGTTCTGTGAGCCTTATGTCGTCTGCCTCGAAACGGGGATAGCGTTGCCTTAGCTCTCGTGTTGCCCACTCTACGGTTTCCCGCGCGGTTGCCCCCTGTTTGTTTATATTTTGAAGCTCCAAATACTCAGGGACGGGCCTGCCGCGGTTCTTTGATTGCCACATGCGATTTAGGGAGGCCTTGAAGCTTTTCCACCTATTGCCATACTTTTTTTCTAGGGCTATGTCGTAGATTAGGGGGTCGGTCTCCGCGCCTTGGGTCCATGCGTCGAATTCTTCGTCGTTTATGTCCACTTGGCCTTCTTCGGTAAGGGGTCAAATTCCGTTCCTTCCACTTCCATTATATATGATAAGCTCAAAGTTAAACCCCAACGTATTACCTAAGCAGGTTGGCGGACTAAAGGGAGAACGCACCTTTCACCGGGTTACCTTTACCCCCAGCAGTGCAAAACCAGGAGAAACCTTGTACGTAGGCGTACCCCGCCTAACGGATAACCTAGTATTGGTTCCTGGCACCTTGGCTTTAAGGTTTGACTTAGCAATACAGCCAGATACCGCAGACACGCGTCATGTCGTAAATAATGTGGGTAGAAACCTCGTCTCTAAGATGAGAATCAAGTTCGCTGGGGAATCCCTTTTGGACTTGAACAGGTACGATCTGTACACCACGTACAAGGACTTATGGTTGACTGCGTTTGACCGCGCGCAAAGGATAGAACAAGGAATTGCAGGCGCAGCCATACGCAAGGTAAGAATCGCAGCCTCTGGCGCCTCAGGAGAAGATGAAATAAAGACGGCCTACGGTACCAAATACGTCATCCCGCTGGACTTCGAGGTGATTACGAACCACGGCGCGTATTACCCGAGGCAGTTAAGTGAGTTGCAGCTTGAAGTGACCCAAGCAGATACTACGAACATCCTGCAAGGAAAGGACGTAAGTTCAGCAGCCGTCCATCCATACTCCGTTACCAACCTGGAGCTGCAGTACGAGACGGTATACAGCGAAGAGTTGGCCCGTAGCGCCGGGATGGAATATAGCGCCGGAAAGGCATTCCTATACGACCACGTAGTGATGTACAAGACGTTCAGCTTCACGAACAACGTCGAAGAGGTCATCAACCAAAGCATTAGTATACCACGACGCAGCCTTACGGGGTTAATGTTGCTGTTCGCAAAGACGTATACCGCAGGATTGCGCGACTCCGAGACATTCCTTAATCCTAACATTACCAAGTTGCCCCAAAGGAGTTCTTCGTGGATAAGTATGCGTTATGGATACACATGCGCACCACCAACGATGAAAGCATGCACGGCCAGGGCCTGCGGCTGGTAAACACCCAGGACGGCATTACTTTGGAAATCAAGCGCACCAAGCATGCCAGCGATTCTACTAAGATAAACTGCTACGTCTTCGTTGTGTCTGACGCGCAGCTAAGCGTAGAAATGAATCAACTAAAGAGCGTTGCGTATTAGGCTCTCGTTCCTTGAGCCAAGCGAAAGGAAAGTTAAAATATTCCTCAAATATACCATGTTGCGCAACTTCTGCAAAGACGATACGAAACTGCAATGCATAGTGCCAGGCGATGAACTGTACTTCAAGGGAAAGGAAGTCGCCGCGGCATTAGAATATTCCAATGCTTTGATCACGCACGTTTCGGATAAGTACAAGAAAAGACTGTCTGAGTTAAAAGGGGTCGTGAATCGCGACACCCTTACTATGCAGCCACATTCCGTGTTTATCTCCGAGCCTGGTCTTTATAAACTAATATTTAGTTCCAAACTGCCCAAGGCTGTAGAGTTCCGCGATTGGGTCTTTGAGGAAGTCCTACCCGCGCTGCGTAAAACTGGTAAGTACATGGTGGAAAAGCATTTCGATGGTCCAAACAATGTGGTGTTTAAAATCGAAAATGAATTCGATTTGCATAAAAAAGTCTTAGACTACATCCGTAAGTATTACCCCCAAATGCTCGTGACCCCTGGTCTGGGTGAACTGCAGGACTCCGACGGTAAACGCATAAAGTGCTGGCAGAAAGTATATCAACGCGGTCAACCCGACTTGTTAATCCTTAATGCACGCGTGCGATACCGTAGTTTCTGCGTCGAGCTGAAGACTCCCAAAGGCATTGGGGTATTATCTGAGGATCAACGTCGCCTGTTGAACAGCTATAAGCAAAATGGTTACAAAGTAATGATCAGCAACGATTACGACGACATCTGTAGAGCCATCGCGGAGTATTCCCAAGGGATTAGGCTGACTTGTAGATACTGCTGCAAGCGCTTTAAAAGCACGCAAACTCTAAGGACGCATTTAAAGATATTCCATAGAATATATAATGGATAAGGACAAATTCAATGAGTTAAAGTTCATACAAACGCACTGGAGGGAGCTGACGGTAGGGGAAATCTACGAGATAAAGAATTACGTGGTCTAAAAAGAATATACACCCTTTGGGCACCTGATAGGGTAAGGTACGCCATCGAAGGGCAGGATGTTACCCATGTTATGAGCCGTGGTAAAAAGGATGGCAGGTGGGTATTTGACGTAGTTAAGTATGAGCCTGAGTCTCCTCTGCATTCGTAGGTTGCGCCTTTGGGTCGGCTGCGCACCGGTGGCCATCAAAGAAAGTGCTGCCGCAATATAGGCAGTCGTATCTTTTTTTATCCGCGAATTTGACTCGCTTAAGTGAAATGATGCATTCCGCAGGTGGTTCACATGTAGTACAATCCATATATAATTAGAACGACCAGGAATCCTCCAAGAAATGCTATTACGTGCGCTACCATATATCTGAAACTATTTCAGAAATATCCCCATTCTTATTGAGGATTTGTTAAGGCTCTGGAAACTATTTTGAAGATATTCTTATTCTTATTCATTATTTGTTAAGGGGTCGGAAACTATTTCAGGAATATTCTTATTCTCATTTATCATTTGTTAATTGCCACGAAAAAGTTCAAAAAAATATTGATTATAATTATCTGTTCCTTAACAAAATGACAATAATGAATAAGATATTCTTGAAATAGTTTTCAGGATTTAACAATACTTTAAGAATGATAAGGATATTCYCAAAATAGTTTCCGGGTCCTTAACAAATCCTCAATAAGAATAAGGGATTTCTCAAAATAGTTTAGTGGCTGCTGCGCCATTCGATCACGCGCTCCATGTATTCTTTGAACGTCCTTGGGTCGGCACTCACGGCCAAGCACTGCCAAATATGCTGACCATCCCTGTGACATCCACAGCGGTCACACTCCACCTCCCAGTATTCCCTATTTTCCCACCGCTCACCTTCCGCGCGGTCAAATAAAGCGAAGCGCATGTCTACTTTCTTCTTACGCTGTATCAACCTCCTTTTAGTCTCCTCCGGGCAGCAGCGCTCCGCAAGATCCCCATGTTCATAACAAACGACCTCTTGCATGTCGTAGCGGCTAATACACCTTTCTTTATGCCAATCGTCCTCCTTGTCCTCCTCGCAGAAGATGCAGATATCTTCAAACATACCCTGTTTTCTAAGTGATACTTTAACATTTGCCTACTGCTAAACTTCCTTGAAAATTGGCATCTGTACTCCCGGGGTTTCTTGCACACTGCCTTTTCAAGGTGGTAATTTAGCCTTTGCCTCCTGCTGAACTCCCTAACGCATTCGTTGCACTCCATATACTTAACAAATATTTAATAAAATAATGATTTCTTGCAAAATCATTCTTGTAAATTTAGATGGGATACCTCATAAAGTCCACTAAGCTTTCCTTCGCCCACATGGCCATCGTTATTATGGCCCCGGCGCGCTCTCCGCTCTTCAGACTCCTCTTTCAACCCGTAAGTCATTCAATTCATTCTTTAGACGTTCTATCTCCTCCACCTACTCGTTAACCATTTCTGACTTCTTTCGAAATATCTCCACCATGCTTCTAACAGACTCCGCGGGCTCCATTATATATAGGAACCCAGATCACATCCCTTGTAATGCTCTGATTGTAGGACCTACCGGCTGCGGAAAAACCCAGTTCGTCGTAGAGCAGCTGCTAGGACCCTTTAGATGCCGATTTGACTATATCGTTCTCCTTTGCCCCACCCACGTGAACAACCGCACCTGGACGGGCATAGGAGTAAAAGATGACGACTTCTTCGTAGATATCTTAGACCCCAAAGAGTTTGGGGTCATTCATGGGCATTTGAAGTTTTGGCATAGACAATTTCCTAAGGATACACAGACACTCCTCATACTGGATGATATCGCCTGCGGAGATGACGTAAAGAGACGCACGTCGGAGTTAGTAAAGCTTGCTTTCAGCGGCAGACATGACAATATCAGCGTTTAGTTGCTCTCGCAGCAGCTTACCAGTGTCTCTAAGCCCTTTGGGAAAACATAGGTTCACTTGTCGTATTTTATACTCCAATTAAGAGTGATCTGGAAACAGTCTTAAGCGACTACGGCGGCGAGATAAGCAAGAAAAATTTGCACGAATACATGCGGCATCTAAAAACACACCAACATTCCAAGATGATCTTCTCTTTGAGGTTTCCGTATTCCATAAAGATCTCCGATCTTTAATATATATGGAGATTGAGCAGCTCATAGATGAAGTCCCCACACAAATAGACGAAAGTAACCTTAAGGAACAACTTAACATCCT